ACTGTCAGTCAAATAAGAAAACATGTTGAGAAAATTTTTGTCAATAGTTAAAAGCCAAGAGATTTCACATAAAAAGACAGATTTTTTACTTTTCTTGACGAAGATCAGAAGATCAGACACACAAGGCTCTCGTTCATGTACAGCAACCATCAGCAAAAGCCTCCCCTGTAGACGGAGCACATGAACCTTGGGTGGGCACAGTCCCTACTGTGCCCTACGGCCCCCAGCCCAGTGGCAGCTGCCATGTAACCTTGGGCTTACAGCCTTTTCACTCACAGTACGAGTAACACAATCACATGGTTCAAAAGTCAAAATAATGCACAGAGTTATGCAATGAAAGGCTCATGCCTTATCCTGACCCTCCTTAAGTAAGTAATGTTGTTCATGTCATTTATTTTTCCCCTTCTTCCTTACACTTTTGTCATTTAAAAATATATCTTGGGGGTTGTTCCAATAGCTGAACATAGAGAATTTACTCATTCTTGCTTTATAGCTACCTAGTATCCCAGTGGATATATATGTCAGTTTATTTAACTAGTCCTGTAGTGGACACAGGATGTTAGTCTTTTGTTTTTACCAATATTCTGCAGTGAATAACAATGTGCATATGTCATTTCATAGATGACAAAGTCTTGTGCAAGATAAATTCCCACAAGCAAGATTGCTGGGTGAGAGAGTAAACCTATTTGTTATCCAAAGGTATTGCCAAATTGCCTTCCTTATGGGCTGTAGCATTTTGCATTCCAAACAGCAGTATAAGAGCAAGTCTGTTTCCCTTCTGTTTCCCCAACAGAATATGTTGTCAAACTTTTGCAGTTGCCATTCTGAAAGGTAAGAATTATATTTTGGAGCAGTAATTGCATTTCTAAATCAAGAGCTCTTTTCCTGTGTTTTTAAGATAAATTTGCATTTCTTTTCCTGAGACCTATGCATTCCATATTCCTACTGGATTCCTATTTCTGTTGCAGATTTCCCTATTAAATTCTTACCTTGTTAAACAGCTTCTAGAACTGCTGCATATATTTTCTGCATAGATATAATCTGCATATATAATACATGCAGAAGATTAGCCCTGTACCTATGATATGAGCTGCAAATATTTCTTTACAGTTTATTATTTATCACTTGCCTTTAATAATGGTGTATGTGTTTGTTTTTATAATTGTCATGCAGTTTTTGTTGTGTGTGCTTTTTAAATGTGGTTAAATTTACTCATTTATTGTTTGCTTTTGGCTTTTGAGTTATAGTTCTCATTTCCCTTTCCAAGATTAAAAATGAACTTACTCATATTTTATTCTAACAGTTTTAGAACTTCATTTGTTAAACGTAAACTTTTGATCCATTTAGAACTTGTTAAGGCACACATTATGAGTAGTAAAACTTTCTTCCTACTGGGTGCTCGACCCAAGATTTTAGGGAGGATGATAAAGCTACCAGAACATCAATAAGGGTGAGACTTGAAGAATGGGATGAAAGAGAGAAACTGATGCAGGGAGGAGTGAGAAGAGCAGTGAGAGGGAGTGGAGACTATACAGCGCCAACATCTCTTGAAGGAGCTCCTGGCAGATGGGTTCCCATTACTGGTATAGCTCAGTGGTACCCAGGGCCCCTTTCATTACTTTTCTCCAAAATACTCACTTCCTTTTAAAGATTTAATGGCTGTACCAAACTAATGGGCTTCCCAAGTGGCTCAGCAGTAGAGAATTGCCTGACAAGCAGGAGACGTGGGTTCAATCCCTGGGTTGGGAAGATTCCCTGGAGGAGGAAATGGCAACCCACTCCAGTGTTCTTGCCTAGAGAATCTCATGGACAGAGGAACCCGGTGGGTTACAGCCCACCCATGGGGTCACAAAAGGGTCGGACATGACTTAGCAAGTAAGCAATAACAACCAAACTAATTGTACTTAAGTAATAATTAGTTATGCTGTCCTTTCAATAAAATCATTTACAGCTGCCAGTCAGTTTCTGGTCAGACTGTGCTAACCAGAATTAACATGCTGAGCTGAAGTACTTTCAGCCAAAAGCATAGAACTTAGAAGTACTGGTTGGCTTGAGAAGGCTCATCTTGCATAGATGAGCCATTTTTGGAAGACTTTTTGCAATGCTGAAATTAGTCTGCATACAGTTTCTTTGTTCTGAGATCTCTCAGGACATGGGACTTCAGTAGTGAGGGGACCTCTGATCTCACTCTCATTGAAGACCTACTGGCACTATATAAAAAGGTGAGGTAAAGTGTAGACTTCAACCCTGAGAAGTTGGTATGCTTACCTCGATGCTGTAAACTACATCTTTAATAGTCCTCCTAGCAATTTTTCTACTCAGGTGCCCTGTTGTTGTTCAGTTGCTAAGTCATGTCCAACTCTACATGCCCTGAGAAAGTTCTTTTTAAAAATTGTTTCCTCATGTGAATAATTCTCTGTTCCGAGAAACAGAGAGAGTAAAGATGAGGAAAATCTACTAGGGTGAATGGTGAGAATGTTGTCACAATAAAGTATGTAAAAAGCTTTTCACCATTAAGTTTGTTCCTTTGCTTAAAGCAGAGGCCTCAAGGGAGACCTGGTGAGAGTGAGGTGCTTAATACAACTGACCATCATCAGGAAGGCATGCCAAGGCCCTTTGTGTTGGTAAGCGGGCACCCGCCCCTGGGCTTCACTCCTAACAATTAATTCAGAATCTCTGGGAGATGGGTCCTAGGCATCAGTCATGTTTAAACTCCCTATATGGTTTCACTGTACAACCACTGCTCTAGAATGGAATTATTCAAAGTGTGGTTCTCAGACCAGCAGCAACAATATAAGTGGGAGCCTGTTATAAATACAGAGCCTCAGTCCCCAACTTAGAGTTTCTGAATCAGAATTTGCATTTTTACAAGATCTCCAAGATCTTCATATGCACATTAGAGAAGCGGTGGTCTAGAGGAGCATTTCCCAAAGTTTGGCACCTGGACCACCTGTATCAAACTCACCAAGGGGTCAGAAGGGTGGGAGATGGGTAGGTCAGGGGACTTAAGGAAGCTGGTTCTGGAGATTATAATTCTACAAGTCTGAGGTTGGGACCCTGAAATCTGCATTTTTAATGTGTTCCCAGGTGATCCCTAAGTCTACTGTTTGGGAACTACTCCCAAGAGGACTATGATGGTGACTTTCTCCTGGCCTACATGGAAAGTCCCTCAGTGACTCCTAAAGGTCAAGGCACACCCATTGCAAGTGGGGGATGACTTGGGGATAATCTTCAAGTGCTTCTCATCCAGATAAATGTAATGTCTGTTCTCTGAGTTGCTACAGAGCAGCTAGTGGTAGTTAAATCAGCTTTCATACTGACACAGATATGAGTGTCTGCATTATCTTGGATTAATGATGAACAGAATGTAATCTGGATACATAAACCTCTTAAAAGCAGGATTAAAAATATAAAATGTTGATACTCAGGTGCAACCTTCTTGGATGGTTTAACAAACCCCTAAAAATGCACAGTGAAGAGCCAAGAGAAAGGGTGAATTTCCCTAAAGAGATTTCTTCACTTTACAGAGGTCCTTTTCTGAAATTTTTGCTTGGGTCCAGCTTTTTAAATGAGAATGTGGCTTAAAAACAAAATGAACTCAGGAATGGAAAAATGTGATCTTTCCCAAAAGATGTGCTTGAAGTGTATAGTACTTTCATGTAGTTATGAAAGCACTTCAGCTCATGTAAGGTATTTAAAAGCTTCTATGATAATAGAATTAAGTGAGTTTATCTTCAAACACCTAGGATTCCAAAATATGGTTCACACTTGACTTGAGATGACAACTGAAATCTTTGTAAAGTAAAATATTCATCACAGCTGTAATGGATAATGAAATAGAACGGGGAACTGCAATGTGATCCAAGTGTAACTGTTAGATGATTACTGAGCTAATATCAGCAAAAACAAATGAAATTAAAACTGGAAGAAAGATTTTTGAGGCTTTACTTTAACGACTTATTTTAAGAGCAGTTTTTCTGAAATCATTTTTGAGGAGCACAGTAGCCTGTGAAAATCTAATGAAAAGCTTTGGACTCTCCCTAGATGCATGAGCCTGTGAAGAGCTCACTCCGACATTTTCTGAGGTTCCACAGACTTCTTGGGGGCTTCCCAGGTGGCGCTAGTGGTAAAGAACCCTCCTGCCAATGCAGCAGGCGTAAGAGAGGTGAGTTCGATCCCTGGGTCGGGAAGAACCCCTGGAGAAGGAAATGGCAACACACTCCAGTATTCCTGCCTGGAAAATCCCATGGACAGAGGAATCTGGTGGGCTATAGTCGATAGGGTAGCAAAGAGTCAGACACGGCTGAGCGACTGAAACGATAGACTTCTTGGAGCCCACATGATAAACCCCAGCTTTGACACTGTGTTTTAACAAAAGATGCTCTATGTTGATTTCCATTATTTGTAACCACTTGGTACCCAAGAGTAAGTTTCCCCTCAAAAAGGTCCCAGGGGTTGGTAAAATTAGGGCTGTTTGCACATAAACCGAAACTATTAGGTTGGCATTCTTGCGTGGGATGAGCCGAGGCCCGGTGAAAAGCCAGACCAATAGATGATGTCAGTGGAAGAATCACTTTACAGAAGTCTGCGCTCTTCCAGAAATGTTACGTCTGTGCTCTCATGGACCCCCTACGAATTTCACAGGCAGAGCTCGGGCCGCTGTGGCTCCTGTCACACCAGAAGGTGAAAAACCTGTGTTCAAAGTTAGGAAGTATGCTCTTAAGAACATTGCCTATTTCCTAATTTATCTGCAGTCTGAACGACCTCAGAGGTGGAAGACTTAGCCCTTCACCCCTCCCCCGTTTAACAGATAAGGAAACTGACCCCTGATGGGCTAAGGTGCTCGCCAAGGTGATTTTCCCAGCGGGTTCACACCCAGGACTTCTCCCCAGGGCACCAAGCCATCTGGCCAGAGGAGGAGGGGATGTCTGAGGCTCTCTCCCTCACTGTCGGCCGCCCACCCCGGCGGGGGCGTCAGAGGGAGCTGAGACCCCGCCTACCGGCACCATGGAGTAGGTCATCATCATCAGCATGTCGTGGCTCTCAGCGCGGATGTGCTGCGCAGGCTCCCCGCCGTGGCTGCGCTTGTTGCGCGCGGCGCTCGCGGGGTCTGGGGGTGGCGCGGGGCCCCGGCGAGGCGCGCGACTCAGCTCGGCCAGGAAGGCGCGCAGGGCGCTGTCCTCGCGCTGCTCCCGGCCCCGCTGCGCCTCCAGCGCCCGGAGCGCAGCGCTCAGCCCGCGCCACTGGCACAGCGCGAACACCGTGCCTGCAGCATTGAGCGCCGAGAGCAGCGCCACCGCGGCCAGGGCGCCGCGCAGCCCCCAGCCCGCGCCCCCGCGGCCTCGCTCCGCGCCTCCAGCCATGCCCTGAGCGCCTCGGACCGGGTCCGGCAAGGCTCTGCCGCCGCTCACCCCGGCAGCCTTTATACGCCTCGGGCAAGCCGTGGGCTGGTGGCAGCGCCGTGAGTCACGCCGCCCTTTGGCCCTGCTGGCGGGGCGGGTTGGGGACAGCAGTAGTGGGGCTCGAGCAGCCCGGAGGGACAGGCCGGCGGAGAGGGGGACAGGAGCGAGTGGAGACAGTCTGCGGGGGAGGGCAGGCTCACACTCCTGGTGCCTGGCCAAGCGGACTAGCAAACCCGCCTCTCCTTCCTTCTCCCCCACTGCCCTGCCCGTGGGGATTGCCGCGGCCCAGACGGGCAAAACGAGGGTCAGACTGAGGGGGAGAGCAGGAATTCTTAGGGCCTGAGAAGTCGCTGGATTCCACCCCCTCCTCCCCCCACACTGCCCTCTCTGGAGAAAGAGATCAGCATGCCCAGATGCCAAGGCCTGTGCCCACTGCCCCTGGGCAGTCTGCTGTCGGGCTGAGTCCCAGGCCGCAGGTCATTCCTCCCCAGGATCACAAGGCCTCATGTGGCCACTGAAGCTCCTACTCCATCTTTCCTGGGAGGAGAACGGATAGAGACCGGGAAACAGCTGGCATTGGATGGTTCAAAAAGCCATTCATCAGAAAGAGAAAAGCCCAGCACTGCATGACAAGCAGGGGTCATCTGTGAAAGAAAATTTTCAGGATATGACAGGCCAAGAAGTCTCCCATGAGATCCTTATCTGGGAGGTAGCCCAGTGATGAGAAAAAAACTCCAGAGTGGAAACTGGGAGGAAAAAAAATACTCCTGGTTCTGACCTTATTCTGCTGCTACCCAGCTGGAGGGCTTTGTCCCAAGACCACTCTGGTCTGATTCTGAGGTGCTCTCTGGCTAAAGGTTTGAGGTGGTGGCCAGCCCCCTACTGGACCTTACTCAGTCTGTGTTACCTGAGGGGGCAGTCACCTCATACCTCCTGGCTACCTCTTCACAGCTCCCTCCTACTCCTGTTAGCTCATATGCTTGTGCCTCAAAGGCCACTAACCACCCCTGCCCCTGGCCCCCAAGGCAGAGTCTTTCTCAGTCTCTCCCAGGACCTCTTCACTCCCCATTTTTCTTAGCTTCCTCTAGAATGACTGCCTCCCTGGGGCCCCAGGGCCTGCAAGAGGCCCTGGTGGTGTGGGAAGCCACAACTTAAAACCAAGATTGCTGTTTCCATAGCCCATTATCTCAGAGAAGGAGCTGGCTCCCTGCCATTGAGCCAGCTGGAGCTGTCAAGGTTCTGTGTCAAGGTCTGATTCCTTAGTTTTAATCGAGGCTGACCAGCTTGTGTCTTCTTAAAAGAACATCCAGGATGAGGAATCAGGAGAGCATGAAGCCCCAAGTGCTTCATGAATGACCTCAACTATGGGGACATGAGGTCTGGTAGGGGATGGAAGTGATACAGACAGTGTCCCAATCCCAGCATACTATGACCTATTGGAAGAATTGCCATGTATCCTCATCTCTTTTCATTTAGGCTTAGGATGCCAATTATCAGGCTTACAACCAATAGGGAGAAGTCACAGAGAGGCAGATTGGAGGTCAGCCCCAGTAAGATCTTCATTTGGTTCACTAGAAGCTTACTGAGTGCCTACTGTATTTCAGGCACAGTAATGGGTGCTGAGTACAGACATGAACAAGACAAGCAGTTTGCAGAGGAAGCAGTTGGGAGTCTCATGGAGCCTCCTGAGCTTCCTTTTATCCCAATGTTCATACAGTTACTGTTCCCTGACTATCTGTCACCAATGCCCACCATTAACAACAGTGTACAGCTTCTGAAGTCAGGGGCCACATCTTGTTTAACTCTGTCTCTTCCCAACACCTAGCACAGTCCCTGGCTTAAAATGAGCATTCAGTAGTTACCTGTTGAATGAGCAAATTAACAAATAAATGACACAAAGGCTATATGGTGAGGGCATGGCTTTGTTAAATGATGTGTGTGTAGTGATGGTAAAGCTTGAGCATGAAACTGCTTATGTCACAGAACATGCCTCCCTGTCCTTGGCAGGCTGCCTGTCTAATGGTCGTGGGAGTGAATGTAGCCTGACACACACATCCCCATCCCTCCTGGTTCAGAGCCCACAGCCTGTAGGAGTTCCCCTTGGAACAAGCCTGGCTTTATCTGACAACCTCAGACCAAGTTGCTGCCCTTCTTGGGATATAGGACTCCAAACACTCGGCATGGACACTGGGCTAGATGGTTAGAGTACCTGAGATATTGTATTGAGAGGCTAAGGAGTGGGCAAGAAGAGGGCAAAGGAAAAGCCAGACTTCCCAGATTCTTCCACCTGATTCTTCTTCCCATTCCCTCTCCCAGTCTTTCTGTGCAAGAATACAGTATTTTACAAGAAAGGAGAAGGCTGGGGCATGTTACTGTGGCCTACGAGGCAGATCTCCTCACTCATCCCGCACCCCAGACCAGCTGTCTCCAAGCAGCTGACCTTGCTCTGTTCTCTGTCCCTGTTCTCTCTCCTCCCTGTACCCTGTACACCGCACACCCACCTTTCTCCTTCTCCCGTCTGTCTCAGGGCTGCCCCTGTTTAAGATCTAGCTCACAGCCTCCTTCCTCAATCAGGCCTTGCCATCCATGCCCACCTCAAGCTTTCCCACGCCTTGAACTCTGCAAGCCTCAGGTTCTCAGAGGTTCTGAGCAAGGGCTTCGGAATCAGAGGGACCTGAGCCTGAAACTGCTTTTTATGAGACTTTGGGTACCTTACTCAACTCATCTCAGGAGACTGTAATTGTACGTATCTCATGGAGTTCTGAAGATTTAATGAGAAAGTGCATGTAAAGCACTTGGCATAGAGTTAATATTCGATGGACTTTAGTGTGGTTGGCTATGGGCTATCTGAACTTGCTGACACCCATATACTGTGCCTTGTGCTACTGACCAATTTCTTAGTTCTTCCGGATCTTAGTTCTTTAGTTGGGTTATAGTGTGCTTAAGGAAGGGACCTCTCTTCACTGTGTCTGTCACAGCAGGGACTTGTGCCAAGTAAGAATATTTGATTAATCGATTGTCAGTGTTTTTTTCAGGAACAGAACTTTGAGTGGCTGGTAAACTTGGCCTCTTGTCTGAATACAGTGACTTTGAGTGGTTATAGGCGGCCCTTCAAACTTTGGCTTCTTAAGTCTCCTGAGACTTTTGAGAGGCATGTATCTCTGTGTAGACTGTCCTGCCTAGTATTCTCTGGATGAGCTGGTACATTCTACTTATTATTAAAAAATAAAGTTAGCTGTTAATCTGGCCTATTTTGGTGACATAGGGGGTTCAAGGTACAATGGGGACCTGGGGAGATATCTGAGTTTCCTTTTCTGGAGACCAAAGGAGCCAAGAACATCATGTGCTGTCTTTACAATGATAAGTAGTTTTTCCATTAAAAGGCAGATGCTTCATTTTCAAAGTTTAAATAGAATGGTCTTAAAAAATGATTTCAGGTTAGCTTTAGGGCCCTGGAGAAGAAAATCCAATTCAAAAATATACTCCAACTTTAATTCCATAGCATTTTCTCCTGAGGGTAAAGTGAATAGTTTTCATTTACTTTAAGGTCTGGCACTTGGGTATTTTGGTCCAAAGGTTGGCAGCTATGTTGTGACTTCTGATGGTGCTTTGCTGCCTCCCCAGCCCTACTTGTCCTCTTTGCCACCAGTTAGGGAGAAAGTCTCTCTGATTTTTGTCAGCATGTACATCTATCTCCCACCCAACCCCCTCTGCTTTTAACTCTCTGTTTCTACATTTTAACCCCAAGAAACTTCAAGTCACCCAACCAAAGTGAGAAATTCTCTCGTTTTCCTTATTTGTTCACTCATTCATTCATTCCAACATTTGTTTATCCACTTATTTGACAAATTGAGTGCCTGCTTTCTGCCAGGAACTGTGCCGGGATCTAGGAATAAGATGGAGAGCAAACTGGGACACCAGTTCCTGCCTTCCTGCAACCTACAGTCTAAGTGGGAGATAATCAACCAAATAAATCTCACAGATGTGAGGGTGTAATTCCAAATGAGATGATGAGATAGATGCCCTGAAAAAACTGAGTGTGATTCTGTGAGACTGTACCACTGAGGAATCCATCCTACATGTGGAGTGCAGGGCCAGGGAAGGCTTCCCAGAGGAACTGACGACGGTTGAGTTGGAAACTAAAGGTGAGTCGCCATTAATAGGTGACAGTTTGGGTGGGAGAGCTGCAGGCAGACGGGATAGCATGTGTGAGGCCCTAAGGAACCATAAGAAGGCCGATGTGGCTGCAGCGTGGAAAACACTGGAAACAAGGAAGGGAGAGTGTGCGGTGAGGCTGGGGAAAGTGTTAGGGGCCAGTCTCTGTGGGTGAGACCTCATACGGCTGGGGTCTTTACTGTAAGAGGAGTGGGAAGCCAGTGAGGAGTTTTTAGTGTGTGTGTTGGGTTGGGGGGAGGTTGGTTTGGTGGACTGCAGATGACAGATTTTCATTTTCAGAGATTACCTTTTATTGTAGGATTTTCAGTGGCTCCTGTGACTACTGAAACTATGTATAATCTCTAACCCCCACCAGACTAAATCTCAGCCTTTAAACCGGTTTTTCCAAATGAAATAAGAGAACATTGAGTTCCAGAAAATGCCACTTTTTCTTTCACTGCACATTTAAAGGTAGTTGAAACATAAAACCCTGACTAACATTTAGATAATTTGGCTAATCTTGATATTAACTGAGGTTTTTGTATAATACCCAGTAATATCTGCATTTTCTGAGAAGTCAGCCTTCGGTGCCTTAGGCTGAGACCAGCAAATCATGTTATGCCTAGGACTGAGATGATGAGATAGATGCCCTGAATAAGGCTGGATGATACTGCATCCCTTATGAGATTTTGGTGGTAGCAGATTTCCACCTATCATAGTTACAGTTTCTTAGACATCTGGATAACCCAGTCATTGTTAGGCTGGAGCTGTCTGAGGTTGTACAGTAGTGCTATTTCAGATTTCCC